ATATACTAATATATCCATCGATCTGCGAAGAATCGAATAAATATTGTATTTGTGCCTAATGATATATCCATAAATAAAATAAGCATAATCGATATAAAAATAATTCCATTATTTCGATATAGATGCCAAGAAAATATCTAAATATATTCGTTTTTTGAAATCATAAAATATAACGTTCAATCATATCATAAAATATAACGTGCAAAAATCATCCAAAAATTTCAAATTCTTTCTATAAAATTAAGAATTATAGTTATATATGTAATGTTTATATATTTTTTAGATTATCCGAATTATATATCTATATATATTAAGAAATCCTATTTTATTATTTTAAAGAGTAGAAAACATGAATATTGATATGAATATCAATATGAATAAATATGAATATCAATATTTTTGCAAATCAAATAATATGTAAAATATATCAATTATATATATATATATATTTCTTTTTCATTATATCAAATCTTCATTAATTTTTGATATTAAAGAATATTTTTTTTATATAATAAACAAATTTTCAAAAACACATAAATCTCATTATTAAAAAACAAATCTATATATATATATAAATATATTAAAAAATATACCCGATCGTATTGGGACCCAGGGTCAATACAAGATATTTTCCAAGGATTGACCCTTGCTCAACCAAAACAAATGGATAAATTAGAAGAGATTCAAGATAAGGCCATATAAGGCCAAAAAAGAAGATATATCTGATCAATGCAAATAGATCATTTTAGGAAGATCTGAGGTTAGCAAGCTAAACGAAAAGGATCGACGAAACGGCTCCCGAAAAACAGGTGCACTTTCAAAATCCAGATGTGTTTGAGCCTGCTTTGGGCCCGCTGTGGTTTCTTCTGTCCTTATTATTTGGTGAAACAAAATTATGAATTGGATAAAGATGTTCAATATATATATATATTTCCAGACATTATCATTTTATATGTATCCCTGGCATACACCCAATAGATGCGCACAATGTTTTTTTCATCCAAATTCTTTCTTGTGTTCAGAGATATATTTATGTTCTTAATCTTCGTTATCGTTCAATATATTTCTTTATTGTTTTTCTAATTTGTATCGTTTCTATTTATTATTTCGTTTTCTATTCCCATTATTGTTCAGATAAAATTCTAGGAATTACTATATATTGCTTCTAGATATTTTAAATCATTAAGCCTCAATTTTTCGATGACAAACAATTTATGCAACCCTTATTTTGATATTTTTTGATCAATAAATACCCTAGTTAAATTTATCATAGATTGATTGGCACATACATATCTTCCAAATATTATTATCTCCATTTTTATCCATTTAATACGACCCCCTATAAAAAAAGATATCTACCAATATATACAAATTATATTTAATACAATCAATCAATATCAATATATAAAAATCAATATATAAACAATATTTATGCTATTTCAATAATTCCTATCATTTAATGATATTAATATATTTCATATATTTGAATTATGCCTGAGAGGGGGAGGGGACGAAAGCCAGCCTGTGGCATAGGGGTTGCTTGCTCTTAGGGTAGAGTCGGGCAACGACGTAGGGTGCAAGAGGAAATGATGGGCACCATCGGGGAAAGATAAAATTTGTGGTGCGAAATTGACATCGCAATCACAAGGACAGGGGGGTAGAAATGGACAATAGAAGATATAGGTCTGGGGGGGGATGCCTTTTCTGTCCTTATTTAGGATGAATTTTGAAATGAAAAAGGACATCCCTCAAGAAGTGAAGCGCCTTTGCCGGCGACCTGTTGCGAACCAAGGAGCAGAGACGGCGGCGGGGGCGCGCGTGCGAGGCAAAGGATAGGATAGGTGAGGAGGTCCTCATATATAGACATTTGGGCGTAAAATAGAGTGGAAAAAGAGCAGCAGGAAGTGGTGAGATAGATATGGAAACGATGCGCGGGTGGAAGATGAAATGATAAATCAATATTATATAAAGAGAATGTATATGGGGTGAAGTTGGCATCGCCGGTTGAAGCCTTATCTACCGGGTGGCTTGCATAAATATTGAAATCAAAAGATATATCTTTACGTAATATATTATTGCAGAACGTGTCAAAAAATGAAATATAGAATTCCTGAGAATAAATCTAACGTCAAAAAAGAAAAAGGTTGCGAAACAATCGTACTACCACGCAACGGAACAACTACATGCGGTCTGCCTCCCAGGGCAAGCCTGGCCAAAGATTTGGTGTACAAGGTAACATCGGGCAAAAAAATTGCATGGGGTGAAATTGACATCGTATCCATCTCGATAGGGGATAGAAACAAGAAGTCGAATACATAGGGTGCCCTTTTTTGTCTTTGTTTAGGGACGTTTTGGAAAGGAAAAAATACACCTGGAAGGAAGTGAGGGGCGCTTGCCTGTTGTGTGTTGCGAATCATGGAACAAAGATATGTTTAGAAGTGAGCAAATTAATGTTGCAATTGTTTGAGCGTACAAAATAAAGTGATTAGCTAATATTGGGTAAAATATTTTTTGGGGGATGAAATTATTATCGTGATTACACTAATGGGGAGTAGAAACAGAACACATCGCTTTAAGGCGGGTGCCCTTTTTTGTCCCAATTCAGGGGCGTTTTGGAAATGAAAAATGGCCACCCCTAAGGAAGTGAGGGGCGTTTGCCTGCGGCGTATTGCGAAATGAACGAAATTAGGGTGAAAATATGTTCATATATAATGGATAAAGACTAATCGGAAATTATAAAATCTATATTGAAACAATTTACACACATAAAATAGATAATATTATATAAACAATATTTTATGGAATAAAAATAAAATCATAAATATATAATTAAACACAAAAGATTCCCTTTTTCGTCCAAATCTAAAAATATTTTAAGCATAAAAATTATGCATCAAAATCATCAAATATATTATAAGATATTTTTATTGTATATTATGAATTAATAAATAAAGTTAAAATTGTAAATATAATATATAATTTTATTTATGTATATAATATAAATATAAATATTAAAACAAAACAATAATTTTTGATATAGATTAAACATATAAAATACAATATTAGTATATATATATATCAAATAATTTATCAATTATTCAATGCAACCCGCAATCACAATCTATTCTCTTTCCTATTTTCAACGCTACGATAATTGTTAATAATTTTTTACGTATCCTTATTTTCCCTTTGCTTTCATCGACATAAATTGCCACCCTAATAAAATATATTATATAACATCCTTATAACAATAATAAAAAACTACCAACCGTCAATTATATCACCGGCATCACAACGTCCCCCAAATCCGTTCATTTTCATTTAGAAATAGCCTGCCTCTCTTTATCGATCTCCTCCACCAAATTCTAGAATCACCTCTCCGG